AAAAAAAAAAAAAAAACAAGGAATGAAAAAATAAAAAAAAAAATAATTTTCAAGCAATCCCAGGTCTTTCTAGTGGAGTTGCAATTTTCATTTATCAAATCCAACATCCTCTTTTTCATACTTGAGTTGAATCGGGACGTGCCCTAGATGTTCATTGCCTCAAGGTTACGCAGATGCAGTTCGCTACCGAACTTCTTTTTTTTCTCTCTCTCTCTCTTTTCTCTGTCTTTTTTTTTTTTACCTACCGAGTACTCCTCTATCTCTGAGAATTACCAGAATTAAGCAGATGCAAATTTAAAGAGTTGCATTTGTTTCTTTCTCTTTCTATTTCAAATTTTCGCGACGTATGAGAAGAAAATATATAAAAATTGCTTGCCTTAAGTTATCATTGTTAAACTTTTTAACACGACTTTAATGTTTTCCGTCAAGAGACCATTTTCTTGAGTTAACTTGGACACGTTGACCATTTCCTTCGACTTTCCTTGTAATTTTTCAAACGAATTTCGCGCTTTTATTACTTCGACGAGAACATTCCAAAAGAGTTCCTACCAAGAATGATTTTATTAATATATCATTTAAAAAAAGAACAAAGAAAACAAAATGCATGATATCATTAAATTTGATCGCTTACCTCGGCATTAGCGTAATTAGAGATTCCTATACAGCTTACGAATCCATTACCATGAGCATAATAGCCAAGTTTCCGTCTACGTAAACCAAAGCAATATGGCGTTTCATTCTTTCTACATATTTCTAATAATTTGTCAACCTCTTCGTTTAAACCTCCTGGAATGAATAAAACAATTGATTAATTCAACGAACGTGACATTTCAATCGTCATCATCACACTTGCTTTACCTGCTGATACAATGTTTTCAATATCCGGTGCTATTATCACGAATCGTACTTTTTTCAACATAACGTGTTTATTTACTTCCTTTAAACCTGAATAATAACGACGTTTATACTTGCCTTTATTTTCATTTCTATTATAAAGTTTACTTTGTAGTCTTCGAATTTCGGATAAAAATTTATCCAATGATACGTTAAGAGACAACGTTACTAAATTATTACAATATCTGTAAGGTAATCGAATCTATCAAAACGTACGTTTCGATTTCATTTATTTTACGATACAAGGATTGGTTGAAACATTTATAATTGTATATACTGTTATGTGAATACTGGATATTATAATATTACGAATAATAATTTACAATTAATATGACTTAAATAAATTTCACGTGTTATTATTTGTAGAATATAATATACTTTATGCTAATATTATAATCTCGTTATTCAGATTACGAATGTACATTTGCAATATACAATAATGTATATATACAAACATGAATTTTTTATAAATTACAGAGAGCAACACATTAAATAGACATATAAATGAAATTTATTTTATTTTCCTTTCTTTTTCTTTGTATAGTTTTATTAATACATCATCATTATAAAATATAATCAAATGAATAATGATACTTACTCTCTAAAATTTTTCGAATATTTCAAATCAAACAACATGTTTGGTTTAACGTCTACATTATTCTCATCGTTAAAAGACAAATTTGAATTTAATGAAACACCTAAATCATTCACAGCAAAAGTTGAATTTTCATTAGGAGAAATACAAATATGCTCATTTTGAACATTGGAAATATTTAACTGATCAAACTTTTGAGTCAAATCTGGCCGATGTTGTACAGTATCTTCTGAAATATTCTCTCCTATAGAATGTCTGTAATCTTTATCGTAAATATTTAATGTTGACATACGTTTGACATAATCTATGTCAATTTTTGGATCTGACTTTATCTTTAAACTATTGAAATTAATATTATTCACGCTTAGACCTTTTTCTCTTCTTTCCTTAATTATCTTATAACATCGGAATTTCTTTTCCATAAGATCGATACTACGTTCTAGTTCATATATTTTCTTTGAACAAACTTGTTTTTTCAACTTTTCAGCTTTCATTTCTTCTTTCATCTGTTTGATTTGTATTTCAAACAATTTTCCTAATTCATGCATGAGTCCATCAGAATCGTCTTTCTTTTTACAAAATTTATTTCTTTTCAACATGGAGTAAGCCATTTTATCCTGAAAATACACACCAGTTAAAAATTATTGTTTTAGACATATAATGTAACCAATCTTGAGTAGAAATCTCTATTGTTGTACTTACATTAAATTTTAGAATTCTACGATGTTGCACAACTGTATTATGTTCCATTTGATTTTGAGAATTAAACTGAGGAATTGAATTGAGCTGAATTGATGCCGAATCTTTATCCGACGTGTCTTCTTCGCGGAATAGCACCCTATATGAAATAATGAATGCACATATAATTAATTATTATAACATTAATTGTAATATAAATAAAAATAAATATTATCTTTAATATTATCACGATTTGATTAGCACACAATAAATCTTTATAATTACATTTTCTAACTTATACAGAATTTTACTTACCTTACCAACACATTTGACCAAGCTGTGAGTATTCTTGAATCATCGTCCATATTGTTAATATCTTTTATTAAACAAAGAAATGTAAATAACCTTGATTATATATTCACTAAATATTCACTAAAACTATTGATACAATATTTACTGTACTTTGTTCAACGACTACCTTTATGCTTGTAAACAGTGATCCCAGAGACTTTAGTTCGTTTGATCGACACAGGGGCGCAAAATTATCCTACGTGGCAGAAAATTATCGTACGCCCCGGGAAAATTTGAAATCCGACAAATCTCGGACAAAATTTTGAAAAAGTCGGAAAAAGTGTCCAAGTTCCAACTTTTTCAAGTTGATGACCTTTTTTTTGTTTTTTTTTTTACTCACCAACTTCACAAACCTATCATGAAAACGATAAAAACAACAGTCCAGAGGGAGATGGAACACCGGATCGTACACGGATCGTATACGGATTGTACATGGTGGTGGTAGTAGGGGTGATTGGGGTGGTAGGGGTGGTGGTGTTAGTGGTGGGGGTGCACCTTTTTCTAAAATTTGTTGACTAAAAAAAAAAAAATTCCAAATTTTTCCAAATTCCAAATAGATCGTACGCCACGAATTTTAGATCGTACAGGGCCTCAAATTATCGTACGAATGGGATCGCTGCCGGCTAAACGCTAAACAACACAGTACGTAGTCCAAAATATTATTGTTATCGATAGAACACGGTAAATCTCATCGTCCTATTTTTTACATAGGAATCTGCATTATCGATGTATCATTTGAGAAAGATAGTAGCGCCACTATCATCAAAACTTCAAACTAATAATTCTGTCTTATCACGTGACTTTTTATGAAACGATATTAAATGTATCTTAATTAAATGTAATTATTAATTCTTACGTTATAAAAATAATAATCAAGAACATTACTAATTTGTATTTTTTAAATTACTTACAATACAAAACGATATGATTTAAAAACAATTATTTATTTATACCAAATAAAAAGTAATACGAATACGTTTATTTATCAATTTCTAAATGGTATCACAAAATACTCGTTTTAACATTATTTATATATATATAAAAAAAAAAAAAAAAAAAAAACTAATCTTAAAACGTTTTAAAGAACAAATTATAGTCTCGAATAAAGTTTAGATAATAAATTGTAATTAAACTAGTAAAAGAAGTGCTCGCTCGCATTTTCTATTTTTATTCTAAAGTAATAATCTATCTTCTTGAACGTTTCTTCTCTTTTAGCTTTCTTAAAATATTTAAGTACCACAATACTACAACACTAACAAGATCGATCGATCTTAATAGAATAAAAAAGTATAAAGAAAAAAAGAACAAAAAATCTTTTACGAGTTTCTTGAGAGTAATAAAAAAAAAAAAAAATAATAAAAATAAAAAAAAAATAAATCATAAGTAATTCTCAAGTTAGTGTTCATTTAATACCAAAATGTGCATAAGCGTACTTTCTTTTCTTATATTACCAGAGCAGTATACTCCGTTAAAAGGCGCCATTTACCGTAATACACGACCACTGGTACATATTTTTGCCGTTAAGCTCGCATTTACGACAGTCATAGAGACACACGTGTATTGCCATACTACTCACCGTACACGTTTCTACAGTGGTAGTCATTAATATCGACCAAACAGGATTACTCATAATATTTTCTCGGAGTTTCTCGTTTATCTACATTTTTGTTGTTGTTGTTTTTGGTTATATTCTCTTTGTCTCCTGACATAATTATAATTATTCATAATATTAATAATAATAATAATAATAATAATAATAATCTTTTTAATTGGTCATATTTATCTAACAAATTTTCTATACACTTTTTTAAATAAATGTTATATCAAATGTACTCTCGAATAACGTAACAAGTATAATCTGAATTATCATAAAAATAAAAAAAAAGATGTAATTTGATTGAAATAAAAAGAAATTCATACGTGTGTGTGTGTATTTTTTTTCACAACTGACACTGTACGTTAAAATGCAAAGACCGAGTATTGCTCGTGCGCCGTATCGTAAGGACTTGCGCACGTGGTACCTGAGCAAGTAGTAAAGAGGAAAATCAATAATTTCCAGGGTATAAAAGATCCTGTCTCACGTAACGCGAGTTACCCTCTCTTTTGTTCCAGTGAACGTTGTGCGGTGTATCCGATAGAAGAGAGCTCGTCGCGTTCGACAATTCTAATAATATTCAAATAATATATAATACAATAGAAAAGTTCTTTTAATTCGAAAAAAAGAAAAAAAAGAAAAAAAAGAAAACGAAAAGAAAGAAAAAACACCTCGATTCTGATTGGTTCGTGTCATTTAATTTATCCAAAAAAAAAAAAAAAAAAAAAAAAAAAAGAAAAAAAAGCAAGCTCTCAAATTTTTTTCTTTATATCATCGTTGTGAGGTAAACACACTATTACTCATTTACGTCTACAGTAAGATTTTAGTAATAAGTAATAATAATAATTATTATTATTAATAATAATGTAATGTATCGATGAAAATTAATGAAAAATTCGAAACGTGTAGGATTGACGTTTCAAACGATCATATCCTAATTATTATTGCGACCGATTTCGACGTGAAAATAATCTTCATTTTATTTAATATCATCGTAATGATAGATTTTCGATCAAATTACATGTTCGTCTTGTTTCTTCTTATCGATTAAATCATTAATATGTAAACGAACTCGTATCACGTCGATATCGTACGCAAATTAAAAACAAAATAACAAACGAAGGAATTTAATCAGAAAGATGAACTTCTTACGAGATTTCATAGACTTCCTTAACACATACTATTTTATATGTAAAACAATCCGTATATATATATATATACAAACATTATTAATGGTGGATAACAAATTTTCATTTGATTTCGTTAATACACACACACACACCCCTGTATTTAACGATTATACTTATTCAATATTATAATTATTAAATACAGATACACACACGTTATATAATACACTTAAATTCTACTAAAAAAAAATTGATTAGAAAAATAATAAAATTTAAGGTGTGTACCTGACACATATACATATATATATATACGGATATGAAAAAAAAAAAAAAATCAAAACAAAACAAACACTTCTGTTTTCGCATCATTCCATCACAAAGTACAATTTTGTTTTTCGCTTATAGTATTCCACACAAGGCCGTTACTATTTTACGTACGGTTGTCATATGTGTGGCATGGTGTAGGCCTCCTGGGGATCCCGCCATGTAAAAGAACGGGGACGCGTTCGGGCACGGTACCCCTTTGGGTGACGAGGAAAGCTGTGCTATTCCTTTTTACTTTACTTTTATTATTATTATTATTATTATTATTATTATTATTATTATCTTATCTTTTCTTCGATACTTCTTATCAGATATTTTATCATCGACCATCGAAATCAATTTAAAACGATTTTATGTGTCACGAACGAAACTTTTACAACCCAAGTTGTTGTTGCATTTTAATTACTGCATATAAACGACTTTTTATTTTCATCCTCCTCCTCCTCCTCCTCCTCCTTCTCTTCCTCCTCCTCTTCTTCCTCCTTCTCTTCTCATTTTATTTTTCTTTTTTTTTTTGATCGCATTCCAAAAGTTTTATGCCAATGATCACGAAACTTATCAATTATCCTCGTAAATTTCACTTTAATGGGTGAAATTCGTACGTACACATATGTTTATATTTCTAAGTGTGTGTGTGTGTGTGTATGAATATGTGAATGTTTGTGTGTATATACATGTGTAAAAAGTTCCAACAGCTTTCGCCCTGTTTCTTCTCAGAATTAAAAAGCGCTAACGTAATATCACGTGGATGAAAAATAACGATCGTATTCTATGAAAAGTCTTATCTACAACAAGGATTAAATGGAAAACATTCTCTTTGTCGAATGATTCATTCTTCGAGGAAGATGATCCTGCTAGTATATATGTATTATACTGTTATTTAAATAAATAGGCATATTAGTCATGTATATATATATATATATATGTAATTACATTGCACTCGTACAATATTTTTTTTTGATCTACTCTATATACCTTTCTCTGAATCCTAATATAATTATTTTTATATTAAGTTGATAAATTAGTTCGTGTATGGGATTTAGTATTTATTGCAATGAACCCATTCATGTCAATTAATATTAATAATTTTTTTATTTTGTTAAATAAATAATAGAATAATATTATTATAATAAATAATATATAATATTCTATATATTAATTATAATTTCTATATATTTATTATAATAATAGTATTTCACTGTATATAATATTAATATATATAGAATAATATTATTATTATAATAAATATTAATATTCTATAAAAATAATATAAAATAATATAAAAATAATATATAATATTATTCTATTATACTAATAATATAGTATCATATATTTAATATAAAATATATATATATAATATATTAATATTATTTAATATAAAAAATATAATCTTCCTAAATGAGTTTGCAACCAAAGGTAAACTCATCTGACAAATTTATTTTTATCATTTTATTTGACTGATTTATTTATTAAACAAATCACGTACAATTTTATCGATCAACCGATAACATTGGATATTTGTTTTTTTTTTTTGTTAAATTTCATTTAAAAGGTAAAGAATCTGAGAGTTGCAGGTGTATTACCCAGTTACCTACTTGCAATTATCACGATTACATTTAAGCGATGAAGTCAGTCGGTCGGTCATTCGGAAATCGTACTTTTGAATGATCTTTGACCTAACCGTGAAATCGAAAATACGCAGACTCATTGTTCTTAGCACGTATGGTATTTTCATTCCTATGTTCCAATGATCTGCACACGATCTTTATGCACACGAATGCAATCATTGATTTTATTTTATCTCCCCTTTTGTAATTTTGTTGTTGTTCCAATCATTCATTACATTATTTTTCTTTCCCACAGATATTTTTTTTTAGTCAAATATGTTATAATATACCAATGAGTCAATGTGTGTGCGTGTGTGTGTGTGTGTGTGTGTGTGTGTTTTGGTTAAATTAAATGCGGACAAGTTGAGTCGTCATTTTTTCTATTAACGCGTGGACGCGTGTAAACGTCCAGATGAAAGATTTCGATAACGGAGAAGTGGTAATATACTGTTAAAAAAAAAAAAAAAAAACGAGAAAGAAAGAGTGTAAATGGGGAGTGAGGGGTGAATGAGGATGGGGT